CCCACATGGCTTTTTTTTATCAATTGGAAAATCCTTCCTGAATGGTTTTTCATTCATTGCCACCTCTAATTCTCCCCAAAGTTTTCCCATCATGTGAGTTAATGAGAAACAGATATTCAAATAGTAAGCAACTCTGGAAATCTACATGAAGTTGAGCAGGAAAGATGGATGTACGAATGAACATCATCCAAAGGGTAGGACTGCAGTCAGGTAGCCTGAGTCCTCAGCCTTTGCCTTCACACCAGGTCAGCTCACCTATTGGCCTATGTGCCAATCTCAGCCTGATGCCTGTTTTCATAAACAAAGTTTTATTAGAACACAGTCATGCACATTTGCTTAATATTGCCTATGGCTGCATGCTTGCCCCAAGGGCAGAGCTGAGTACTTGCAACACAGACTACGTCCCATAAAGCCCAAAATATTGACTGTCAGTTCTTTCACAGAACAAATATGTAGACTCCTTGCTCTAAACAGGAAGCCAGGGAGTAGGAAGTGGTGCCCACCTTTCTGCCTCCTGCCCCATCTGGGCCTGTCCAAGGCCTGGCGTGTTGCAGGAGAGTCAGGTCCCCACTGAATCACTGGAAAGAGAAAGCCTCTCCTATAGCAGTGGTCATGAAATGTCACCCAGACCAGAAGAGTCACTAGGCTCCCAAAAGAAGATACCAACGAGTCTTCTCTCTCAGCAAAAGGCTCATGGTACACATACCCTGCTCTCAAGATGGCTGTCTGTGAGGGCCCTTCTGCATGGCTGAAAATACATTGCATGGGGAGGGCATTTCAGATAAAAAGTACATTTATTTTGTGAGATTAAACAAACAAAAAATAGGTTGGTTTCTCTTGAGAAGTTTACAGAAGATCGAAGAAGTATGGTTTGGAAAAAGGACACAGGGTCCTTGAGAAATGATGCTCTTCCTGTGCTTTGTGAACATGGGACCAGGGGAGGGCATGGGAAGTTCTCAGTGACCAGTACAAGAAATCCTGCCTTGGTTTCCCAAAGTGTGAGCCACTGTGCCTGGCCAGTCTTGTCCTTTGTGTTCTTGGAGAGAGAAGCTGATGACAAGCATTTTCTTCCCCTTAGATAAGTGAACCTGGCAGATGTCTAGAAGAAAGTAAGCATGTGGGGAGAGAATGTGTCAGCTCTGGGCGGGAGAGGCAGCAGCCCATGTGAGCCTCATGGGAACACCTTGGTATCCGGGCGAGAAAAGCAGCAAGCAGTGGCCTGTGTCACACATCTGAGCAATGCCTTCTGTCTGGTGGCTGGAGAGGGGAGGATGGGGCAGGGGAGGGTTCACATAGCCCAGCCGCCAATCCGGAACCCTGGTGGGTCAGGTCTGCAACTCAGAAGTGCTTCTCCAGGACAGCATGGGCGAAAGGCACCAGGGAGAAAGAGACTCTTAGGCCATGTCCAGGTACCATCCCTGATGCAGGACCTCACCCCTAAGGACAAAGTCTCTGGGAGGCAGGCGATGGTGGGAGGGAAAACAGGGAGGAAGGGATGGGGGTGGCAGATGGCAGAGACTGGCCAGCTGGCACTGAATAAACAGAACAGAAAGCCTGAGGTGGAGAGCCCAATGCCAGTCAGCATGACTCCAGGGGCCTCTCCTGATTCTGCCCCCTCTATACTCTATATGAAACAACCTTGATGTGTATGCCCACCTGCTTTCATCTGGATGAAACTGCAGAGGACTGAGGAGGGCACGGATGAAACCTGACACATGGGCCCTAGCCCTCAGAAAGTTCAAGACATAAAACCACATTCATGGCTGTGACAGGGGTGGGGGGGGAATGGACTCTTCCTCAGCATCCCCAGTGTGCCTTCAACAACACCTTTGTGAGCGCACCTGGGGGCTTCCAGGTTTCTAACGAGTGGAGCTCCAGGCCCACAGTCTCTAACAGGTGGGACTCCAGGCCTATGGTTTCTAACGAGTAGGACTCCAGGCCCAAGGTCTCTAATGGGTGGGGCACCAGACCTGTGGTTTCTATTTCTGGGCCGCTAGTCCTGCCTCCCACTCCTGCTCTGTTTAAAGCCTGTAGCTGCTGATACAAACAAGACTCCCCTCCATGATGAGCCACTAGAAACCACTACCTAGTCACCAACCACAGAATCCTGATGATGGACTCTATATATTTTTACTGGCTTCTTTAGTATTCTTTTTTCTTTTATTGGAAAAAGAAAGTATTGGGCAAGAGGAAATAATTCATCACCTTAATTATGCCACTTTTCGGTTTCTTTTTTCCCCCATACACACAGTTTTGCATTTGTTAAACCTCAAATCCTAGCAAAAGATGTGTGTCGGCACTGTGTTTAGAGTCACTGCTTCAGAAAAGAAAAGAAAAGAAAAATGTACACCCAGGCTACATTGTTTAAGACATGACTCACAATACTGCAGAAAGGGCCTTTTTAACAGTCACATGACACACAGGTTCCTCATTCTCCTCCTGCCTCCCGCCCCCACAGACTTTTCTCTCCTTGCTTCTTATTACTGACCACACCCTGGCACAAACATTCAGCAGAAGACACAGTGTGGCTGAAATATGAAGAAATGTTGTGCAGCAAGAAATCAGGAGGGAACAGAAAAAGACTCTTCAAGTATAAAAGATCAAGAATATCTAATCAGTCCAGGTCTAAAGGCCACTTTCACTGTATTTCCCTACAGAGACACCTGCTGCATACATTGATCTCTCCCAAAGAATGAGATACCTCTGGTACACGGCTAGCTTATAATGGAAAAAAAACCCCCAAAAAACCCAAAACCAAAAACAGTTTCCAAGACTTACTAACAAGTCAAGTGCCCACTGTGGAGAGTTTCATCATTGAGTTTCCTGTCCCACCTGTCCAAACCTGATTTCTCTGTTTCTTTTTGTGAGTAAAGAGGCTGATTTTATGCCCTGACCAAGAGAGGCTCCTGCTGTCCTGACTGGCAGGGGAACGGTATAGTGTGTCCCTGAGTTAGAAGGCACTGCAGTCCTCTATCCTCGCCCACAGGAGAAGTCTGCTTGAGTCAGACAGAACTGCATGCTGCCTCAGCCAGGAAGGAGAGAGGCGGTGCCTGGCTTCTGCAGTCGACAACTCGGGTGTCCACATGAAGCAGCCATGTGACTGGGTCATCCATTCCTGGTTCTGACTCCACTCCTGACTCTGTGCTCCTTGGCCAAATCTCTGCTTCCCAAGACTTGGGCTCCTCCTCCTAAAGATGCTCACCACCCCCAAAACAACAGCTGTAGACCCATCCATGCAGCTTATGCTGCTGTGCTGAGTCTTATCCACAGAGTGTGCTGCAGATTCTTGCCTTTCAGTCGCTAAGTTCTGCATTTATTCTGGCTAAGTGGGCACAGCTGCACCAAGATTGTTCTTGTACATTTTTTACAAGAAACACGACGGGGCCGCACTGCCTGACCCGAGCACAGCCTCCAGGGCATGCGCCCAGCTCCCAGCCACTGTACTTGTCATGCACCACCCAACCCCAGCTATACAGAACAGCATCTGCGGCAGTCACCTGTATGTCTCGAGCCAGCCTTTCCAGAGCCTCGATACGCAGAGGGAGGCAGGGGATAGCACAAGTAGGTGCTGTTTCACCAGAGGCCCTGTCCCAAAGGCCATGACTGGGATTCACCTGTAATCCAGGTTGTGGGTTAGAGTCTTAGCCCTTCTTCTGGCACTTTGGATGTGCATGAACATCCTGGATCTTACTCCCAGAAAGCACCACTGTATGCACACAGACACCCTCAATGCTTGAGTCTGTGCCATGGGGAGTGTGAGTGGGGCTCAGGACGGCACAAAGGTAAGAGAGAAAATACACCCTCCGTAGGCCCATCACTACCTGCTACTCTGAAGCTAGCTCCTCAGGGGCTGTCTTAGAATGGTGGGTGGCGCATCAGGCAAGATGATCTGAAGTTGAGGAGCACATTTAGGTAGAAACACGAGTGCGTCCCCTTCCAGCTAGGAGCTAGATGGACTGAGCATGAAGAGGACACGTCTAGACGTCTGGTACACAGATGGCTACCCTAACCTCTGAGATGCCGTCACTGGTAGGGCTCACCCAGGCCAGTACACAAAGGATACAGCATCCCTCACCATCTTTCTCAATCAGGCACCAAGGGATCTGTCATTGGGTGAAGGCGAGCATCTCTGGTGTGCGTCTACCCTTAGGTCAGCTGCAGGAGCATGCGGAGAGGCTCCTGAGTGTCTGGCATCAGAGCCCTGTGAGGGTGCACCAGTGTCACCAGACAATCGGGCTATAGAAATGGCGCAAGGACACACTGTACCACCTGAGTTTGGAGGCTGTGTCTGTGTGTTTGTGTGTTCCTGGAAGACACAAGCAACCAACTCTTTCCTCTCTGCTCTTTTCTCTGTTGACTCTCTTAGGACAATGTGTCCTTTTCTGTTTATCAGTCCCACACTCAAAGTGCTTTCAGCCCAGCCACTGGATGCGACTCTTAGGCCCCTCCTCGATACTAGATTCTGACCTGGCAACCTTCCTTCCCAACCATTCTCCCTGCATCTCTCCCCAGTTGCTTGCCACTGTGCTGCACAGGGGTTCACTGAGGCCACTGCCCTGCCCTGCAACTGGAAAGAGCCCATCTCAGGCTGAAACAAATCATTGCCACCTCATTTTGCTGTTGATTCACTACTGATTTTTTTTTGGTTCAGACTTCCCACAGCCTCTCCGTCCTCACCACTCCTGCATTCCAGCCTCACTGCACCCCACTGGACAATGTGAGGGTGAAAGGTTTATCTGTAACCTATTTGTCTCTATTATAGATTTCTAAACTTTAATTAAACCCGAGGCAGTGAGGATCTCAATCCCTTCCCTGCCTATGGGTGTTGTGAGTGCCATCTAGCGGTGGAAAGGGGTGGCACCTCTCTCCTTTCAAGAAATTCATCAGATTTGGAGATTCTTCCCCCCACCAAGTTCACATCACACAGGGAAGGCAAAGGCATGCAAATATATATCTATATATCTATATATGTGTATGTGTTGTGTGTGTGTGTGTTTTACCTTTAAAATTCTCACCTGCAAAAGCTGAGATGGGTTCTGAAAAAAAAAAAACAGAGAAATTTGACTTAGACAAAGAAAAGTAAGTAGATGAATAAGAAAAAGACAACTTTACCAGGTTTTTGCAAATTTCCATGGAAAGTGTCCGTGTCCCCAGTTCTAGACTGTGTCTAACACATCATCAGCATGGGATGGCATGTTGGCAGCATGAGTCTCAAAATTGTTTTGGAACAAAAGTCCTCCTGGAGTCACAGGTCCCCAAAGTGCTATAATTAGTCACTTATCACTGAGAACTTTCTCAGAGGCTGGGTCATGTTTAGACGCCCAAGCCCAAGAGCTGCCTGGAGACTGGGGTGGTCCCAGGGGCTTCTGATATCACTGGGCACACACCCCAGGGCCGGGTGCCTAGATAGGCACCTGGTGAGAGATCACACCTATTCAGCCAGTTAAAAGGGTCCTGCAGCTTCTCAGGACTCCCTATTGACTTGAAAGCACCCATGGCTCCTAGGAGAGGCAGGGGTCCTTGGACGGCCCCTTTTGCAGGGGATAACTCCTTCTTCAGAGGCAGGCCTGAATGAAAGTCTTGCTCAGGAAGGCTGACCGCTTTGCGCCTGACCATAGCCTGTGTGTCTAATCAGACAACAACTCTGGGACTTTGGACACTAGGGGTGCTTGCTTTAAAGCAAAATCTGTGATCTTACTTGAGATGCCACAGTTTGCCCTACAATTCACTCATGTAGCAAAAATGCTCAGGTAATTGTGTTATCATGATTATATAACACATGCACTTTCTTTGCTTGCCAGTGAAGGTGGCCATTAAATCCATCAGTCCTTTCCAGTGGGTAATTCTGACTGGCAGCTGTCTTCATCCTCCAATATATTCTTTCTAGAAGCTGGAGTTTGCTGATGGGGGTCTCAGCACCCTGAATCTCCCTGTACTTAGTGCATGACTACTTATGACTGGAAGCAGGAATACAGGCCTCTCCCCAACTCACAACCTTGCCTGAATTCAACCTAAGATGCAAAACCACCCTTGTACCTTGCCTCCTGCACAGACCATGACCATCCCATCTGCTGGGCAACAACTGTGTTTAAAATGATGTGCTTCCCCCTCAAGTATCCCAGCCCTGGTGTCTTGTCTAAAAGAGCCATGAAGATAGATGTGCACATACCCATGCAGTTCTCCAGTGGTACATCGGTGCTGATCCGGATGTCATCAAGGGCAATCTCCCCGGCACGTCCTTTCCCTATCATTCCCTCGAACACAATCTAGAAGCCAAAAGAACAAGAGCCACAGTTAACTGGGCCTCTGGGTCCAGGTGATACAGAGATTTCCCATCTCCTGCTAACAGCAGCTCAACGTGTGTGTGTGTGTGTGTGTGTGTGTGTGATTGCACCTGGTATACATCTGTGGACCACATGGCTACAGCTCTAGAAATCTTAATTTAAAATGAGTTTGCTCAAATCAAATGCATATTTGAGGGGATAAGAAAATGTTACAAGGTGATAGATATTACAGTCCAGTAACTAGAATGTATTGATTAAAATGACCACATCAGGGTGTATGCAAAAGGGGTTGGAACTCCCCTAGCTGTTTCTGAGGTCCTTTCACATAGATCTTTAAATGCCCAGTCCAGGTATTTGAAAGCTCAGTGGATACATGTAGATGGGAGGTATGGAGACAGAGCATGAGGGCTGGAGCAGCCTTGAGAGTAAGCCAGTCCATGTTGGCTGTTAGAAGCTGCTTGAGCTTCCTTGCTACAGAGGGGAGAATGGAAATGACACCCCATGAGACTTGTCCTCTGCCCAGGCAAGCCCCTGTCCAGGGCAGGATGCACAACTCCAGGGGTACCTGCTGCACAGTGCACTGGGGGGAGTGAGTGGGACTCTGGTGGGGCAGGGATCTCAGGGTACCTCATGCTTTTTAGAAAGTAAGGACAAGCTGCATACAGGAGCCCCCTGCCCCACTCTGTGGCCATTAATCAGACCTTGTTCCTGCCTTCCCAGGGCTCTCTCTGCAAACCAGCCACGTCTGCTTCCCCAGTCATCTGTTGCTATCCTCGTCTGGAGAGGAGAAGGTTAATGCTTTGGCTGGCTCTCAGTCACCTCTGCCACTGCATGTCTACTCCTCCCCAGCTGTGGCTCAGTCTCCTGCTCTCGGCAACCAGGGTCACAGAACTCCATCCCTGGAGCCACTGGGAGGGAAGTTGCCCAGGGGATCCATCCATGTCGGCGAGCCCAGGGTGGGAGAAGTGTCTGCTGCCCTCCTGGGCTCCTGCTCCCCGGGATAGATCCAGGGTTCCCTCCTGGTAAGGAGAGGGAGGTCTATGTGTGTCTTTATCTGTATGTGTGGCTCAGTGTCCCCTTGTCAGTCTACCCGAGGGCCATCTACAATAAAACGGAGAGAACAGCATTTGCTGGAGAAGATTTCAGTGATGCAAGAGCAAGAAGAGGAACAAAGAGCTGAGGCTGGGCTAGAGATAGGCATATTCTGAATCACATAAGAGTGTCGTTTGGTTGCCATGGCAACATGAGAACACAGCAAAATGGGCCTTCACCATATCCCCTGATGAGGAGTGGATGGCCCTCAGAGACACGGACACGCAAATCCCGGGTCCTGGTCCCACCTGGTACTCCAGCTCGTAGCTGGGCAGGATGACGCGGCCGTGCTGCCACTCGCTGGCCTGGTCTTCATGGATGGCCCAGAGGAGCTTGCTGTCCCGGCTGGCTTCCCGCAGCACCTGCAGTGCCACACCGTGCCCGCCTGCCGCACGGTACTGGAACTCCAGGCACACAGCGCCCTGAGGCAGGTGCAGCGGAGGGCTGATGAGTCGGGCACGCCGGGCCTCGCCATTGCTCTGTAGCTGCAGGAAGTGCTGGTCATCTGGGGACAGACCAAATGGGTTCTTGATCAGTGCTTGGGAGACAGCTGGTATGGCTGTGCCCGCCAAGGGAGGGCGGGACTGGGGTTTCGGTGTCTCTGGGCCACACGTGCCCCTGTCCTCCAGCCCCTGGGATCTTTCTGGAGCCTTCTTCAGAGCCTTGGTTAAATATCTTGAGTCTTCAGGTCGAGCTGGCCCTTCCTGCTTGTTTCTTGCCTAGTTTTCTGTTGGCCTTCACCTGGCATAGGGCCTGTGTCTTGGCAGGCTGTGTGCTCCCCTTCCCCACAGGCCCTCATCAGCCCACCCAGGGTCCTGTAGTCTAATGAGTGGATGACAAGGGTATAGCTATAGGGACTGAGGTGGCTGCCGGAGTAAAGATCAGTCCTGGCTAGACAGGGGTGTGACCCTGGCTGGATTGGAGAGTGACCCTGGTTGAATGGGGGGAGGTGACCAAGGTCAGACTGGAAGGTAACCTTGGCCAGACTAGAGGGTGACCCTGGCCAGACTGGAGGGTGACCATGCCTGGATACATGGGTGACCCTGGTCAGATTGGAAGGTGACGCTGGCTGAATAGGGGGAGCAAACATAGATTGGAGGGTGACCTTGACTGGATTGGAAGGTCATCCTGGCCATGGTTTTGCATCAAGCCCTCAATACCGTCCAAATGGCAGGCCCTGAATGTCTTCTGTATTCACAGTGCCACTGACCAAGCCTGGGCTCCACAGACTGCCACTCAGATTCCTAGTGTCACCTTCACACAGAAGAGGGCTGGTGGCTGAAGGGGTCAGGGGCCCTGACATTCTCTTCCCTTCCCTGTCCAGCCTGGGCAGGCCCTGTGTCCTCTCTCAGACAGCTCCAACAACAGAAGCTCTGTCATCACTATTAACATATGCTGTGTGCTTAGCAGAGAACAGACACGTTCTGGAAAATCAAGGCTCGTGAGTCCAAATGTGTGGAGAATGGCTCTGTTGGCCAACTGGTTTTAAATCTACCAGATACGCATGCACAAGGCCGAGTTCTTGTTGCTGGTGGCAGATCCCACGCTGTGTAGACATAGCTGTGGTCTTCACCTGGACCCCACCTGAGCAGGCCCATTCTGACCACTTGCATGGGAGCAGGTGGCATCTGAGGAGGAAATCTTACCACCTCTCTTTGGCCCTGAAATGCAGGGACCTCTTACATAAAGTATGTCTGCAAGATGGCAGGGATGTTTTTCATCACACATGCAGTATGGCATGTGGCATGGCACATACCTTGGGATCACACTCATGTGTCGCCATGTTAACCCAAGACACGTGCACAGAGCTTTCTTACTCAATGGGGACTATGACTGTCTTGAACTTATCAGGGAAGGACAGGCTGGGACTCCAGAGACCAAGTCAATGCCATACTCCCTGGACCACTGCTTTGCTGCTGTTCCTCCTGCTTACACCAGCTTTCTGGGTAACACGCCTCCTGTCAGAGGCCCAGAAACAGTCTCTTCCTCCCAGCTCGTTGGCTGCTGTGCCTACCTCCCTGACTTCCCTCAGGCCCTCCTGTTAGACTCTGGTGTTCTGGCTCTAGAAGCCACATGAGATAAGCTTAAGAGGCACACATGGGCTTCTGGTCTGTGCCTCAACCGCCCAGCTGTGTCCGTCTACATGCCACACAGGGTGTGCCTCCTGCAGGCCAGAGTCAGCACAGGAGACTCAAAGTGGCTGTGAAATGCATAGCATCAACAAAAGAGTTGATGGTGGTGTCTGTGGAGGGCGGAGACGCCGACGCCAAGAAGATCAGAGATCTTCTAAACCTACCTTTCCCCATCAGATCTTATTACTACTGCGTTTAATAATAATAATTAGAACATATTTGCATGATGCTTTACAGGTGGCAGGTATGGCATTTGCATGACTTCACCCCGCCCTCGTAAGCTAGGATGTACTAGCTTTGCTTTGCACATGAGGCAGAAACTGAGGTTCAGAAAGGTTAGTGCCTTGTGTAAGGTGGAGAGGCCTCTTCAGTGGCAGAGCCCAGACTTGACTGCAGGTTTCCACTGTCATGTAGGAAGCTCCTTATTTCAGTGGACCAGTGGGCACCCGCCCCAAGGTCTTGACTCAGTCACCTGAGGTGGACTGACCTCCTGCTGGGCTGGGATTGCTTTTCCCCTCATCTGGGATTCCTCGCTCCTCCAGTCCCTCGCTTTTGCTAGTTCTCCTAATCATTCTGCACAAGCAACATGAATCCGTCTTTCCCCAGCAATCCTAGCGTGTACTGGCTGTACTGTTGATTTTACCTGGGTTCTAAGAGGATCAGCCATTTTCTACGGATTTCAGCAGGTAGTCATCCACCCGGCATCCTCACTGTGTCCCGTGTGTCTTTGTGATCACCCTCATTAGACTGAGTCCTGGTCTACACATACAAGGCTTAACACGGCTTCTACCCTCCACTCATAGACAGTGTTTCATATATGCCACTCCTTGGGAAAAAAAAAGAATGAATGACAAATACGTGGATAAGAGTGACATGAGGCTTTGCATTGGAAAGGTGGGCAGGGGAGACTCTGTTAGCTTTGTTTACTTCCTGTAACCCCTCAGATTATGTAATAGCTTCACAGTCTCCTCCACCCTGTGAGCCAACAGACCCTTTCCAGGGTGAGGTGAGCCCGTAATGGTGGGAAGCAGGAGCTCCAGTCCACTGAGGCCTAGCGGGAACACCTCAAGACCCATGCTCCCATGATTTCCCTGCTCTGTTTCCCTTACCTATAAAAGAAACCATATCTCAGAGCTGTACCATTTAGCCTCCACCCTTCATAGTTTCACCAACAAGACCCTTACTGCTTTCAGACCACTTGTATGAAGGGACCCTCCTCAGCACAGGGAACTCACAGCACAATGGCCAGGACTGGGTAAGGAAAGTTGGGGGTGCAGAGGCAGGAGGCCAGCCTGTCTGAGTTGATTTTGTTTACCCAACCTCTTTCTGAGTCTCCAGGTGCAACTGGGCCAGAGGGCTACCGCCTGCCTTTGCCAGGCCCAGGGAGCTCCAGCCCTTTGCTCCCACAATAAGATGACGATCTGCATGTGATTTAAAGGACCACTATGAGACCAAGAGTCAGGCTGGTGGCAGGCTTGCCCAGGAGTCCAAGGGAACAGAACTCGGTGCTGACGCTGGAGCTAATTTGCGTCAGGATCTGCAGATGAGCAGGCTCTGGACAGTGCTGTGCTGAACTCATACTTATGCTCTGCTGGTCTGTCTTGGTGAGGAATCCAGGGAAGAAAGATAACGTGTAAATATAAGGAACGAGCAGTGGACATCAATCAGTTGGAGTGATGCCAAGCTGACAAGTGCCCGTCACTGTGAGAAGCCCGATTAGAAACAAGGATACCATGGAGGGACAGCGCAGACCAGGAAAAGCCCAAGGGAGGGGAAAGGAGAAGCAGAGAGGAGAAAATGGACAAACTGAGAACCTACTGCATGCTGGAGGCTGCACTGCAGGCTTTGCCTACCTCATCTGAAGTCATTTTCCCCATGAAATGCATAGCATTTTCTCTGTTTTTATCAGTAAAGAAACTCAGATAACTGAAATGGTATAGGATTTGAACTCTGATAGGACTGAGTAATCTTGCCGGGGCACAGCCTATCACCCAGGTGGGAATCCCAGCCTAATGCTCAGTAACCTTTCCATCTGCAAAGTGGATATGAAAACAGTATGACTGTTGAATTGTGAGGAAGAGTGGAACATGCCATGCTAAGTGCTTTGCATAGCAACAGGGACACAGTCAGAGCTCAACAAGTGAAATTACAATGCCTGCCACTCCGCACAACTCCTGTGGTTGGCTTTATTTTGTTTGGAAAGAAAAAAGGTAGAAAGACCCCCAGTGACCTGGGAAGACCAAGCCAAGACTCAAAAAGTATATTTGCTAAGGGCAGTAAGGATGTTCTCTGGATAAGCTGGTTCCCTGGACCCGCCCATCCCCAACACCAGTCATTTCCATCCTGCACCATTTACATGTTTTTTTTTGGTGTACATCTGCAGTAGATGGGGTAAAATGTTACACAATCCTGGATAAGAGTGGGGCCTTGAGTGACCATTTTGAGTAGACCAGTCCTGTCTCCCTGGAGATCCCTGCTGACAGCATCCTAGAGCAGCTGCCATCCTGCCACGTGCATTCCTGTGGGTGTCAACCACACGTTTGCTAGGCCACAACCCTGACTGTCAGAATGTCTTATGTTCTGTTTTAAGGTTTCCTTTGCCATTTAGGTACATTTCCTCCTCTGTCCCTGTTGGAGCACAGCCAGTTTCTATTCTCTGACTTAGAGATATTTTTACTTGTGAAGAATTAAGACCTAGGGTCTATGCTTCCCCAGGAAACACAACCTTTGCCCTTTCAAAGGTCCACCTTCCAGGGCAGTGGTGGCAGTGGTGGGCTTCCACTGGCCCCTTTCACACTAAATGCTTCAGCTGCCTTAGGCCATAGCATCCACACATAGACATGGAGATCAAACACATGCAGTCACTGAAGTTTGTTCTTCTGGAATGCCTCAATGTATAGCCCATTGCTGCCAGCACAGAAAAGGGTCTAAGTGCACAGTGGCTGCAGTGACTCGATAGAAAAAAGGGCTGGCATGGCATGGGTGGGGCTGCCTTATTGCTTTACTTGGCCCTTAGGAAAAGCCCTTTGGATTGTCAAGAGGTTGCCCGGATATGGCAGCTAACCAGTTGAAGACTAGTCCTGCCTGCTAGAAGCTGCTTCCTTCTCATAGCTGATGGTGCCGGCAATGGACAGCTTCCAAGAAAAAGACAATGGAAAGGAAATAGGTTTTGCTGCTAAAAGAGAATGAAAAAATAATGTCCCAGAGACACAATCCTGTTCCTCCTAGATCTGACATGTTTGGGAGGCATTTTGCTGGGTCCTTGACTCAAAACATCTGTTGTTGCCAATGACACAGGGAAAACAATCACATGGGAATACACAACAGGAGTTCAAAAGGGCGAGGAGGAAGCGCCGGGACAGGGCTGTCAGCA